AAGTAGACTAAAGTTCTTTGAGAAAACAGTGATTAAATTTACTAAGGTCAATCTTTCTTAAAGATAATTTTAATACTATTTTATTCATTTATTTTTATTCTATTATTACTATTATTTATATTTTCTTCCTTCACTGTATTTTATTTTGTTCTTATTTAGCTTTATATTATTTTGAAATTACCTTTTTTTTTTTTTTTAATTATAAATATGGTATGAATGTGCTCTCAGAACTCTATTATAAATGTCCTTTATTGAGACAGATTGTAATATTTATCAATAAACAAATAATCCAGTTTAAAAAAAATAAATATTTATTTTATGATTTGCCAACGTTTCGACCTGAAGTTGAGGCCTTCATCAGGGCTGTTCGAAGAGATTGCTTGAATAGATTCCTCATTGTCTTTCGTTGAGTAAGGCTGTATAGAAACCATTTAATGTAAATTCATAAATTACAATGCTGATGATTATTGTAAATGTCTGTAATATGAGCGTGGATATCCTGAGGAGTAGTTTAGTATAATGAACTCTAATTATATTGTTCTTATTATTATTGTTATTAGCTCTTTGGCCTGGAATGCGCTGAGCGTTGCGGTTTCACTCGAGCGATTATGTTTACAAAGTCAACTAGGTTTAGTAGTCTTTTTATTTATCATTATATCAATTATATAATATTCTATTCAAGCCGAGTTGTTATTCTTTTTTGTTTTAATTATCTCACTGCAGTTTTCTTTTTTTTTAAACCAGGAATTAACAAACGGCTCTCTGTTTCATCAAAAAAATCATTTCAATTCTATTTATCTCCAAGGCTTCTGAAAAGAAGAGGGCCTAAAAATCTTCTATTATGGATCTTTAATTGGAGTCCTACCGATACGTAGTTTCTCTTCATATTGTAGATGTCATGTTACTAGTGTTGCCCAAAATCGGTCTTGGTCTTGCACTTCGCAAGACCAAGCCTAACTGTTGCAAGTTGGGTTTCTCCTATCTGAAAAGTTACTGTAATATCTTTATAGTAATAAGCTAATAGATAACTGCAAGACCATTGCGAAACTCTTGCGCAAGACCAAGACCGTGATCAAGACTGAGTTTGCAACACCAAGACTCCTCTCGGTCTCGCATTTACTACATGTTACCAGTTTTAAATTTACTTGTTACATTTTTCATGTTTTAAAAAAAAAAGTTTTAAAAAAATTATTAATACAAATTCGATTTAGTAATATCAAACTAAAACTAATAATAATAAATTTAATTTATTTAAATGAATTTACAATTTACAAAATGTACATAAAAATCGGTCATGTTTTGGTACAACATTTCATATTAAAGATATCTTAAAAATTATAAACTTTATCAACTATTTTTTTTTTTTTAAAGTAGGAAAAATGATAAAAATCCTGCATAAAAAAAATAAATAAAGAAGTAAAGAAAACAATAATGTAAATAAAATTATAATTGGTAGTAGGTTGACTGTCGTGGATAATGAAGAGAAGAATAGTTGGGGTGGTCAGTCAAAAAGGAAGGCAAAAATAAATGATAATATTTATTTTTTACATATGCCGACGTTTCGACCTGAAGTTCAGGTCTTCATCAGGGCTAAGAAAATAACCAGATAACAAGGTATGAGAAACATAAGTAATGATGGTAAAAAAGATAATAAAAAAATAAATAAATAAAATAAAAAATTATTAGAAAAATAAAATAGATAAATATAAAGTAAAATGAAATTGTTAGAATAATGACTAAGAACTAAGAGATAAGTAATAATAACTGTTACAAAGTGTGGAATGATGAAGTAGGAATAATCAAAAAGGGGTGACAAAAGTGTTACAATGGGAATGTTAGAATAAAATGTAAAACATAAAAAAGAAATATAAAGTTATATAAGAAATGAAAATAAATAGTAAAATTAAAACATTGAGAATGGAGTAGTTAGATAGAAAATTGGGAAATCGTAAATAAAATTAGTATATAAATAAAGAAGTCAACAAAAATAGTAATAATAAACAAGGTTTCAGTTGTTACTACAAACATACTCCGATACTAAGCCAATATTGCTAGAACGATGTTAATAAACTACTAGTCCACCGTACAGACCCTTATCGTTATCTACAACTTTTTTATCAATGAAAATTCTCGTGAATGGGGCGTTTTCTCATTAAATTAATTAATTGAATGAGGTAATAAAAACTTATGGATAGCCATTTGCATTCCACTTGAATCGTAAGATAATTTGATCACATCAAAACGAGAAAAGAGATGGGTGGCCTACAGAAATATTGGCCAGTTTGGCCTGTTAATATCTCGTTACATTGACATGTTGGATGTCCTTTTTTCTTAATTTTGTAATCAAATTATCGTACCACTAACTTGAAAGCAACTGGGTTTTCATGAGTTTTTAGTACGTTTTTATTTTTATTTTTTCTTTGAATATTAATCTGCACCTATCGACGACTGTTGACAATCAGACGATGGTCTGATTAAGAATAGCACCCAGCAGTACCTCTTGTCTGGGATGAATCAATTACTATGGTTTGTTATGTTATGAAGGAGGTCTCTCATCCAGCGCTTTTTTATTCTCCTCCTCGTATCGATGGACATGTCAGCTGAAGCCATTTTTGATTAGTATGTCAGTATGTCCGTGTAAATTATTGTGAAATCGTTTGTATAGGGTTCATATGTGTTGGTCAACTGTAGGCAGAAAGAAGTCGGTATGTAAGGTTTAGTCTGTCACGTACCAAGGTGCTTTAGTTATAAGTCGTAATATTTTTAATTAGAAAGTTTAAAGATTGTGTACGTAAGTCTTTTTAGCTATACTAAATATCTGTGAGGAGTAAGTCCCTTTTGGATTAGGTAAATATAGGTATGTATTTAGTTTCTGTCTCAGTTTTAGTTTTGGAGATTTGGAAAAAAGTGAGTAAATTAGTTTCAGTTGCCTATTGAGGGTCTCCCGTTTCATTTTAACACGTAGGTCCCATGTCATCCTTCTGTCAAAGGTAGTGTACGGTGTTCGTCTGAAGGATTTGGTTGTTTTCGATATAAATTAGAGGGCAGGTATTTATACTTTATTAAATTGATTAATTTAATTATAAAACGTCCCATTTCTGATAATTTTCGTAAATAAAAAAAATTATAAGTTACGAAGCCATTCAGGAAGGCGGATGTTAATAATCTGATAAAAAGGGCTCTGCACCACGGACTACCCAGCCAACCATCTCCTGACCGCATGAAAGATAGCAGGTACTGTAGAGGTACCTGTTGTCCACACATTGCGTTTCTTTTTTGGTTCCTCGACCTCGAGGGATCCTGAGGTCGTTCATCTCCTCCAGGAATCCAACGGCGGTTTTCCCCGCCATCAGTTACGCAGGAGTGAAGAGATAAATGTCGGTACAACGATATGGGGTAGCGAAATTGAGGGTTGTATAAGAGAGAAAGGAACTCGCTCTAGTTTTTTTTTATAATTCTAGCTAATTCCATATTAAATCTTATTGTATCTGACACAATTCACTATCATATAGCTAAGGAAATTCAAATATTTAAATTAAAAAAAAAATATTGGTTTAACTTGTGATTCAATAATATTCATTTAAATATTTTAATTTCAAATAAGCAAGTATCCTGTACTCGATGGGGGAAGACCCATGAGTACCCATAAATTACAGTGTCAATATATTTAAAAATGTTATATTTATGGCCGGGGACTCACGTCTGTATAATATTTTCGTAAATTTTGGCAATTCACGTTGAAACTCACGATTAAAGCTGAAAGCAAATATGTGTTCATGAGTCTTTTTTTAATATCTCATTATATTTATTAAGTTTACCGATGTCCAGATTTAAAAATGCACCGTCTACGAGACTTTTCGAATAGTTTAACATTGACGCTTATTTTTTTTATTTTTTTTTTATGATTCTAGCTAATTCCATATTAACTCTTATTGTACCTGACACAATTTACTATCATATAGCTAAGGAAATTCAAATATTTAAATTAAAAGAAAAGGATTGGATAAACTTGTGATTCAATAATATTCATATAAATATTTTAATTTCAAGTGAACAGGTATCCTGTATTCGATGGGGGAAGACCCATGAGTACCCATAAATTACAGTGTCAATATATTTAAAAATGGTATATTTATGGCCGGGGGACTCACGTCTGTATAATATTTTCGTAAATTTTGACGATTCACGTTGAAACTCACGATTAAAGCTGAAAGCAAATAGGTGTTCATGAGTCATTTTTTAATATCTCGTCATATTTATTAAATTTACCGATGTCCAGATTTAAAAATGCACCGTCTACGAGACTTTTCGAATAGTTTAACATTGACGCTTATTTTTTTTATTTTATTTTTTTTTTTTTTTTACAGCTTCAGCCACTAGGGTCATTATTGTCTTATTTTCATTGAGAATTAGATTGTACTTTGAAGTTTCGAACATTTCCGAAAATAAAATAATTTGTCAATTTCATTCGTATTATCCTGTAAAATGAAGTGTAGGTCGTTTGTCAAGTCACAATATTGTCTAAATGTTTCGTAAGTTCTGCATTCTTTTAAAATGTGTTTCACTGTTAGAGGAGTCCTACAGATTTGGCATGTTGGCGGACGAAGTTTTATGTGTGTGATAATAATTTGATAAAAATGGATATATACGATCTACGTAATTTTTTTTCATCCCGTAGTCTCTTTGACTTATTTTACGTATTTTGTCATCTCTCCTTCCTTTTATGAATCTCCTGATACAAAGTATAAACTCCTTGTTCGTTTTTAATTTTTATTTTTTTGTGTAAATCCGGCTATTTACTTGTGCAGGTGCGTTAAAATCTCTGTGATAATGGTTCCAGTTCGAAGTTGCATTACATACGAGAAATTGTTCATTTGTTCTTGGCATGTATTGATACACGATATAAACATCAACTCGAAGCGATAGACCTCTTGAAGATAATCGATTTATCCGATCCCGTTAGATGTATCGATAACTTTTCCATTGCCTCCCTTCTTCAGTCATATCCAGGCCAATGTCATCCGCGGGAGGTCACTGTCCCAATTATCACCACTTCTCCTCAGGATCTCCAGAGGCTGCATTTCTTTGCCAAGGACCTCTTCAGTGTCCCTTGTCCTTAGAACGTCTTTGTCATACAGCTTCAAAATGCCTTTAAAGTGCCCATTTATGAAGGATGTGGCGAAATGGCGAATAGTTTGCGATGTATGTAGACATACCCTCGTGGCGAAATTCGAGTCGCTATGAATATATAACCTTAGTTGGCAAATAGGACATATTTAAAGGCACTTGAGATTCCGTTGAGTCACGGCGTGCATATTTCTCAACAATTAAAGACATTACAATTACCACATTCGGTCATGAAATCAAAATAAATTGTTGACATAGATTTCTCATCCAGTTTCTTTTTAGTCTTCTAGGGATTGTTTTCACATATGTGTGATTATAATTTTCAGTAAACAAGATCTAACACTTTGCTTCTGTGTGTGTGTGTGTGTGTATACAGAATAGAATAGAATAGAAGAGAAATTATTTTTATTCTGGGACGAAGTCCAAACCAAATAAAAACAAACATAAAAATTAAAGATAAAGATAAATCAGTAAATAATATATTAGTTATACATACTATATACAAAATAAAATAAAAAAATCTAAACTCTTGAAACCTTGCCAAGACACTTAAAACTATGTACAATGGTAAAATATAAATATACACATTTAGAAAAAATAAAAAATACCTTATATTCTTCTTAGCAGTAAACTCTGTGTTTCTGTTGAAAAAAAAAAAAAAAAAAAAGAAAGTCGAATCTGACAAGTATTTAAGTTATGAGCTATATGTAAATACATTATTATGGATAATATGTAATTTTACATAAAAGGTTAGCGGGTATCTGACTGTTTTTGGGACAGGAATTGGAATAGGATGGTTTTGAATGTATATAGGGATAAGGAATGAGATAGGATGATGAATGATGAATAGGATAATGAGAAGGAATGTAAAGGTCGGAAGGTCGAGATCTTGTGGAAAGGGAGTGGACTGAGGACTTGAATTGGAGAAGGTTGTAGGCGTAAGAAGGACGATGATTGTTGATGATTTGGTAGAGGAACGTACCTAGGAAATACTGTCTTCGAATGGAGGGGAAGAGCCACATTAACTCAGTGTAGTGGTGAGAGACATGGTAGTATCTCGGGGCACCAATTACAAATCTCTCGCAACTGTTCATTAATCTTTTCAGTCTGATATGTATATATATATATATATATATATATATATATATATATATATATATATATATATATATATAATCGGTCGTGAGTCGACTCAGGGACCGGTATACCTCCCTGAGGCAAATCCAGCCACTATAAAGTGGGTACTCGTAATTAAATAAAATTAATTCAGAAATAAAACCTGGCGGTTGAGCGTGATATTGGCCCGTTACTTCCCTGCACAACCGTTGGACATGTAACAGTACTTCCTCACATTGTGTACTAAACCCAGTACCCTTCATGGATTGTTAGTAGTACAGGTTAATTAGTTAATTAATTAAATGTATATATATATATATATATTTATATTTCGCCACCTGATTCGTTACCATTTAGATTAAATGAGTTTTAATTCCACATTTTGGATTATCAACTTTACAGAACGATATCATTAAAATTTGATTAATTTCAGTACTTCTAAAGGAATTTTTCAGTTTTTTTCAAATTAACCTAGAGCACTGAATTTTTTTTTAAATATTTTTTTTTATTTAACACTTACAATTGATCAATCTCCAATATATTTACAATTGATGCGGGTTGTAGCCTTGTGTACAATATATTAGTTTTTATTAAATGCTAATCTCTAAAAATTAAAGTATGCATATCCCCTGAAGTTAAAGTCTGTTGTATTTAAAGTTTCTGATTCAGTAAATTAGACTAATTTCTATTATATGAGTCGTTTATGTCGACCGCTCGCTCAAACAGAATTAATAAATTACTCGATAATTTATATAACTATTCAAAATTTGTATTTAATTCTTATAAATATTTTAATGTTTTATTTCTTGACTCTAAATTCCAATCCACTTACTCAAGCTCTATCTACTGCCACAAATCCATATAATCCGCCCAGAAGACTGCTGAGGCGCTGGCCAAGAGACTTATTGCATTGAGCTACTTGTTGCATTATCTTTTTTTTTTTTTCTTTTGTTTGTGCGTTATTATGTTATTATGTGTTATCTTACTACTGTTTTTTTTTGTCTTCTTATTTTGTTATTACTATTCTTTTTTTCTTTATGCTATTATTTCTTCTCCTTGATATCATATTTGCTGAATACCGAGGCAGATGGCAAATTTATTGTAAGCCAAGAATATGTACATTATAATAAATAAAATAAAAAAAATAACATAAGAAGTAGTCTAAGAAAAAAATACCTGTTTTTTATCAATTCCTATTCTATAATTATAGATTCCTTAAATATGTTCAGATAAAAATAATTTTAGTAATTTTATCAGTATAAGATTCCTATTAAATTGGTTTTTCTACCGATATCAAAGAATTTCCTGGCCTAAAAAAAATAATCAACTAAAGAATCCAATGTTTTATTAAAGTATTCTATAATCATAGATTTCTTAAATATGCTCGGATAAAAATGATTTTAGCAATTTTATCAGTATAAGATTCCTACTAACTTGGTTTCCCTACCGATATTAAAGAATTTCCTGACCCAGAAAAAATAATCAACTAAAGAATTGAATGTTTTATTAAAGTATTAAAAACAGGAACTGTTTCGACATCGGTAGGAACGACCGCCAGGTCATTATCCTTTGCAACTGTAAATATTTCCCTGACCGCTACTGAGAGTTATATCAACATTATATCTATTATTGACACTCCATAAAATGTATATAACATGTATATATATATATATATATATATATATATATATATATATATATATATATATGTATATATACATATATAAAGAATTAAAATAGACAAAAAAATAATGGCAGTTTTCCTTATTGTATAACAACTGGACTCGAAGTAGACAAATACTTTTAACTCTCGTATTAATCCAACACACTCTCCCTTTGGCAACGAGAAAAAACCCGTATAGCCTTAAAGACGAGGTTGGATAGAAAAAAACTCCACTAATCAACTCCATGAGTTCATATAGGTCTTATTAATAATTAACTTCTGTTATTTAAAAATTTATATTAAAAAAAAAAATTTTTAAGGGCTAAAATTTATGGCTTCTAAAATTAATTCAATGCTCAATTTCTCTGCTTTTTTGTCTATTCTAATTCTTTATATATATATATATATATATATATATATATATATATATATATATATAATATATGATATATTATTGAATTAATTTTATAAGCCACAAATTTTTGCCATAAAAAATTGTTTTTTTTTAATATAAATTTTTAAATAACGGAAGTTAATTATTAATAAGACCTATATGAACTCATGAAGTTGATTAGTAGAGTTTTTTTCAATCCAACCTCGCCTCTAAGACTATACGGTTTTTTTCTTGTGCCAGAGGGAGAGTGTGGTGGATTAATACCAGTTAAAAGCTCCTCCGGCACCGAGACACGAACTCATAATTAATTTTATCAAATATTCTTCGGTTTCTCAATTATCTGGTTGCTATGCAACGGGTATTTTACACACGCTTTAGCCCGCTCGGCTACCCCGCTCCCTAATATTGGATTCCACCAAACCATCTAATTTCTCTAAGAATTAATGTTCCATATGTTGCTCATTTGATCCTATCTAAAAATCTATTCTTTCATGACAAACTCCAGACCCTAACCCACTTGTTTCAATCGCGCTTCTTCCTTGATTCCTGATAATTCTCCGAGTCATCAGAAAAGAAGACGGTCTCGTGATCTTCTTACTTAGAACTATTTAAGGAGGAACTAGCATTGAGTGGCTTCTTGACAAGTATATTCATGCTATTATTCTTGTTTAAATTAACTAATTGTATTTTATATTTTAATATACTTGTAAATATTAATATAAATATATAAATTTTCAATACAGGTGTCGGTATAACTAGATTTATTTATCGGCTGTAGTAGAGTAGGAAAAATCAACATCTTCTCAGCATTATTTCTTCGTATTGTACAAGAGGTTTCGGCAAAATCTTCTTGTAACAATAATTCCTGTTACATAGTGTCTCAAATCCTGTTTGAAGTACTTGTCTACTTCGAGTCCGGTTGTTGTATAATAAGGAAAACTGTCATTATCGTTTTCTTCTTCGGTTGAATGTAATAGCTGACGAAGCGTTCATTAATGTTTACAAATATATATATATATATATATATATATATTATAATAATAAAAATTTATACAGCTAAAAAATGATGTTACTTATTTGTCTGAATTTGTTTTAAAAATATGTGCAAGAAATTTTTTCAAACCGAATATAAACCTTTAATATATATATATGTATATATGTATATAATTTACTTTGAATTAGTGAATTACGAAACTCGTGTAACATTTCGCATAAAATTCTTTTTCCAACTTTATCTTTATTGGCATTGTTCTAAATTTTTAAAAGATTTGTCCCTGGCCAGTTGTGATCTATAAGATAATGTTGCCAAGGTATCCAAGGAATTCAAGATAGGAAAATTCAAATAGTTTTTTTCATTCTTTCTGCGGAATTGAGATTGGTTTTGAGGTCAAAGGTTTTCTATTTGCATATCGTTAAAAAAAAAATAAAATAGTTTCATTGACAATAATGGATAATTACTTAAGTGATTACAAGTATCAAATGATATGAATTAAGAACAAGCACTGATTAGATATTTTATTTTAGCCCTCTCAATCCGAATGACAACAGTGACTTTATAGAAACGATAGAAGTTACTGTACACCCTTTTTTCTAAATCATATATATAATTTGTATAATAACAAAAGTAACGTATCTCATAGACAGATTTTTTGGAATTGGGTCGTTTTCAATTTATGGGTTGGCAAAAATTTGTCTATTTAATTAGATACAAAAAACTCGTGCGTTCCACTTGGATCGTAAGATAATTTGATTACAAAATCGATAAAAAAAGATAATATACATAAATCTTGAACCCTTTGACCTATATATCTTCGTTATTTTGACAATTTGGAGGTGTTGGTCACGCCAAACGACTCGATATTTTTAAAGGCCACCTTTTTTTTTTTGACCTTGCGCTCAAATTATCTTAAGTTTCGAGTTGAAATCAAATGGGTATTTATGAGTTTTTAGCACATAATTAAATAGACAAAGTTTGGCGATCTCCAAATTGAAAACTCCCCAATTTCAAGAGTGTTTGTAAATAAAATATTTGTAGGTTACGATGAGATGAAACTATTTACGTAGTTTCAGGTGGGTGTTAATAATTTTATAAAAAAAAAAGAAGGGAGTCTACAACACTGCGGATTATAAGACTTGTTGTTGCGGCCCTCTATTATTCTCTAGAATACTTTTTCGATTTTTTCACTTAAAAAAATAAACTTGAAAAATCCAAAAAAAATATTTTTTTATTAACTCTAAACAATTTTTTTTTAGCGGACACCATAATGTTTACCTACGGCTTATGGTGTCTCAACTAGTCTTAACGGCAAGTAGCAACGCCTCCTGGATTGTGGCGGGGACTGTTTGAGTAACCTCCAGGGCTAGAAAGTAGGCGATGAATGGGTTTCCAAAGGCGGCCTTGCCGATCGAAAAATGTGGCCTTACCCACTGCCATAACGGATAATGGCTCTCTGACTAAATAAAATAAAAAAAATTTAAAGTTTCAGTTTTCGCTTTTTGTGTCAACATTGTTTGGCTGTATACGTACATTTAGCAAAAAATAACATGCAAAGCTGAGTTAGTGGTAGTTTTCAATAGTACAAGCCCTTACTATTGGCGGATTCAAGGGGACCTTTAGGCGTAAAGTCTTCCCCCATACCAATTAAAAAAATGTTTTAATAGTTTTGAAAAAGGCCCCAGTTGGACGAAACGTAGTCTAAGTTAATGGTGTCCAGAAGGGGGTTTTATGGCGCCATCGAAATTTTTGAGGGGGGCACCTTTCAAGAGAGTTATGAATTTTCGGAATTAAAAATTTTAACATAACAGTGTGAAGGTGATCTCTAAATACTATTATAAATATCCTTTGAGACAGATTGTAATATTTTTCAATAAATAAGTTTTAAAAAAAAGTTTCAGAATAAGGAGCAAGTGTAAAACATGGAACAGAATGCAGTATGATTGTATATGATCTATGATTTTTCTAATTCTACTTTTCTTTGCTATATTTTAAAGAAAATGTGAGTAATAAAATACCTTGGGAGAGGAGGGGGATAGATTTTTGAAGCATAGATTTTTTTTTTTTCCTAGAAAATAACTTTATTCTGGGACAAAGGCCCTTTAGAATAACAAAATAGAACATCTGACCAAAATAAAACAATAATAAAAATAGAGAAAGTAAAGAAAATATTAGTTAAACAAGCTATATACAAAAAAAAAAAAAAAATGTATATACAAAACACTTAAAACAGCAAAATAATAAAAAAATACATTGAGTTGTTCTTTAAAATAAGCTGTGTTTCTTACGACAAAGGAAAGAAAAATCTGACAATACAAAATGTCTTGGAGGGAGGGAAAGAGGAGAAGTATAAAATCAATAAAATAATGTTGAGAATTTTGTAATCTATTGACCTGTTACTTTATTTCAACAAAGCATTAAAATTCGGATTTGTAAAAAGAAGTATACCAAAAATAACACTTTTATATTATTTGATATATACCATCCAATTTTTCAGCTATGATTGAAAGTGTACCTTCAGAGATACAAGCAAGCCAATGTAATTTAAAAAATAATTCTGGATTTAAATAGAAGTCCTTAAATAGAGGAGATAAAAATTAATGTATTTTTTATTCAAAAAACATTTTTAATTTTTTAGCCAGAGACCTATCTCCACAAAATCATAAACCACAATTAAATTGAAATGTACACATCTCGGAATTAATTCCAGCCAATTAACAAGCGAGATAATCTCGCGTCCTTTTTTGGCGGCAGTTAATTCTTTCCTTGACCCAAAATTCTTTCCAGCAATTATACATGACTCTATACATGTGTATATAAGGCGGGTCATGATGGCCGTCCATACCTGGTTTGGAGAATGAGAACGAAAAATCAAGTTTAGAAGAGTGTGGTGTCAGTACTTGGATGAGGTCGGGCCATGTTATTGAGATGTCTGAAAACGATAAATATTTCTTTCTTCGTGTAAGAGAGGCCTGTCATCCTACTGGAGGCAACTTTTCATTGGATATTATCCCTTAAGTGTTGATGTAGTTTGGTTTTGTATTAGAAACAGAAGGACGGAAGAGAATTAAGAATAAAGAAAGCGCTTAGCACATTGCATAAATTTAAACAATAAAAATACTTTTTTTTTTGTGAATTTAATTTATTCAATGGTACATCAGAAATATAAAAAAAAATACTGGAATATTTTTAAATCTATACGTTCTTACATTACATTTATATGTTTTCCCACTTAAAATAACAATTCCTTTGAAACTAAAGTTCGAAATGAAATAATAAAAAAGAGTCCATAATCTAAAATATGTCTGTAATTCATACTCTTATGTATTTTTTCAAGATATTATTTGATTTGTATGCACATATGTATCGAGCACTTTTTTATTTCTTAAAATAAAAAAGAAATGATAAATAGAAATTTGAATTAATATTACACCTTTTCATCCTAATGATACTTAAAATAACAAATATATTTTTTAGGATTAAATATATATATGTAATATTGTATTATGTATTACATTTCAATGGCTTTTTACATATTTTATTAAAATTTATGGATTAAATCTGTTTCAAACTTATAAATATGATTTTTATATCTTTTTTCTTATTGCTTCATATTTTTGTCCCCTTGTCTGTTTTTTTTTTTCACACCTGTCATTGTTCTTACACTTCGCTGAGGTTATAATTTATTTTAAAATAAAATAAAATAATCCAATAACTGCAGGGGTTCCCAGAAGAGGGTTTTATGTAGGGGAGAGTTGAGCCATCAAAATTTTTTAGGGGGCCATATTTTGACAGGTTTTTGAATTTTTGGGAAAGGCAAATTGTAACGGTGTTATGAATTTTCGGAATGAAAAGATTCAGAATAATGTTTTTAACAGAGTAACAGAGACAAGAACAAGACATGGAACAGACCACAACAAGTGTTATTGTGTATGGTCTACGATTTTTCTTATTCTACTTTCCTTTTATTTTATTAGCTCTGTTTGAAAGAAAAATGAGCAATAAAATATCTTGGGAGAGGAAGGGGGTAGGTTCTTACGCCTGGGTACCTCTGAGTTACTGCAAGACTTGCGGAAGACCGAGACCAAGACCAACATAGAGTACGCAAGACTACAAGACTCGTCTTTGTATTTTAGCAACACTCCCCCCACAGCGATTATGTTCTTAAAAGCTACATTAATTTCAATTCTTAAACGAAATTTATAAATTATTCTCTAAATTTCTTCCAACTCTGAACCAAATCGAATAAAACTTTTTATCTTTCTTTTTTTTTTTTAATATAGGCGTATTAAGTGAAATACGTTTTGGGCATCCTTAAACGAAATTATGCGATAAAAATTGGTACTGAATTATTTTTTTTTAGAAATTCCTAACATTCCTTTCCTCTTCTACTACAAGCAGGTGTGGATTCAGTGAAATAGTTGTGCCACCATCTTGTTACTGACTGAAAATCGGTAAAAATTTAATCAAAATCAGATTAACGATAGTATTTGATAGGCATGTGATTGGTTATGACAGTCCCGTCACATTGATTAGACTACACGTAGAACGTAAATTCTTATTACAAAAAATCGTTTAACCTTCAGCTCGAATGAAAAACTTTCCCATCTTTGTTAGCGAGGAAGCGAAACAAAAATGGCTATTAATTTTTATTCATGATGTCTGTATAATCGTATTACTGCTTAATTGTACTCAAATGGAGACCTATTGGAAACATTATTTGACCGACGTCTATAATATCGACGTAATTTAGCAGTCATTGATTTAAAAAAAAACAACAACATGTTAATGGTCAGTAATATCGATTTCTTTCGCCGCAGCCTCGAGGTATCGATTAGCGTAATGACATTCCAGGTGTTGTGCAAGGTGGAACCGGTCCAATACGGCTAGCTCTCCAGCAGACGGTTACGCATTTCGCCCTCCCCCCCCCACCATGGTATAACATGTCATGCGTATCGCATCAGGAATAATAATATTCTTTAGTTAAAGCAAGACTTTGGACGTGTATACCTCTATGTATATATATACCTCTATGTCTTTATTTTTCCTCGCTGGCTTCCGTTCAAGAACTACAGGAAACGCGTTGAAGATTTTATTCAAAATCTGGCCAATTTCCTTGAGAGTCCATTTCCAGTTGGACTTCCGACATTTTGGGTAAGGTCAGGTGGGTTGGAAGGACGACGAGGCATTCGGAAGTAGGTTGCTCAAATTGCTCAACTCCATTCATGGATTGTGAATATCTCCGTGTATACCATGTGTATGTATACGCCACGGGCGGATCTACGGGGGGGGGGGGGCTTTCGGGCTGAAGTCCCCCCCCCAAAATGGAAAAAATATAACCATGTTTTATGGGAAAAAAATACCTCTTAAAGTATTATTGTTAATGTAATTACATTTAAAAGTTCTTAATGAATAACTTAAACACCATTTCATATAGGTAGTTAGTTTCTTTCTGTTTTTCCAAAGTAATTATCGTTATTTTTATGAAAAAAAAAGGTTTCGGGCTGAAGCCCCCCCAAAATTAAATCCTGGATCCGCTAGTGGTATACGCACCACATGTATGTGTATACATGTAGATAATAGTGGGGAAAATTGTATACTGTTGACAAAGAAATGAAATATTATTTATTTTTGTGTGCTTTCTTAACTTCAATCCCCAAACAAATTCTCTTATATACATTTACGGTAGCACGTAGATTCGTTTACGTTTTTACTATAAATTCTTATTTATATCCAGAAATCGTATTTTATTTCATTTATAATTATTTTTAGAACATTGAGATTATTTATAACTGGATTGTAAGCACAATCCATGATGGACATAGCTAAAGAAATTTTTGTCTTTTTTGGTTCATGCCACCGTAATTATTATAGTTATAAACTTCTCAGTTAGACATTTAGAATTTCTAGGATCCCTTTTTTTTTTATTTAACACTTTAAAATTGAAAAAAATATTCAATGATACAGGTATAATCAAATAATAATAAAAAAAAAAACAACACCTTTTTGCAATAATGATGGACACCCCGATATTCAATTGTTCTAGTAATGAGCAGAGAGTCCGTATCAGTAATGGACATACTTCAGAAAAATTCTAAAATCTTTATTTAACTCTAAAGATAAGATAATATAAATGTTCAACTTGTTCATAGCAAAACTGTTAGAAGGAAGATATAAAACATACTGATCTCAAGAGCACTATAAAAACAACAATGATAGGCATTTTAGAATTTTCTTTTGGGAATTTTGTTAATGCCGTTGTCAATAGTGTTCGTTGTTCTTCAATCTAAAAAAAAAAAAAAAAAAACTGGAACCTTTTAATCAACAAGAAAGTTTATTATTTATATTTAAAGTCTATCCTGTCCACAACTGGTCCACAAATGTATAATATTAGTTAACAACCAATCATATCAAAGATGGACATCTGTCATTTTCAGAAAGCGGAGAAAAAGTCAATTTTTTGTTTTATAGATTCAACTCAAACCTTTCTGATTATATTACAGAATATTCAAGTTGAATCATGAAAAAAAAAAATCATTTGATTTGGTTTATGCGACTGAGAGAGAAGCGTTGGGATCTCTTAGAGTTTTGCCTTACCCTCCATTCTTGACGGAAAGGGACTCGAATAATATTGAGCTTCCTGATTGTAAATATTATAAATAAGTATGAATGTGTTTTTTTGAAATTTCAGTACAAAATTTGTCTTTTTCTTAACTTTTTAAAAATGACATCATGTCCATCTTTGATATTAATTCACTCAATTATGGAAGTTTAAATTTTTTTTTTTAAACGCTATATCTTTACAAATAGTGCTCCGATTTTTTTTCCTTTCTTAGAAAATTTAAATATATCCTAAATAATTATAGAAATAACCAAAAATATATTTTTTTTCGAGTTATTCGAAAATGAAATAAGTTTTTTACAGCTTCTTTTCTGGGAAGTATGTTGTATGAAAAAATAATGGTTAAGTTTCATTATTATCGCTACACACAATTAGACGCAACAGTCTAAAGCGACACAGGTTTTTCGGCCGCCATTTTGTAACTAAAGGTCGGACGATAATTTTGAGCTCCGAAGATCATCTTTGGGTGACCTCTTACTTTGTTACTAAATCATAAAACAATCGATTCCTTACTCTCAGAGAAATGCCGCGGACAGAGATCGGATCGATTTTTTCAAAATTTAATCTTCGGATTCAACGTATCTTAAAACGAAAAACCTCAAGTTTGAAGAGCATTAATTTTTTTCATGGTCAATTAACAAAGGTTCATTAATGAAAATAATAAACAGCATTTATTTAAAATTTTAATCTAAATTATTATTATATTATTACTGGAAGCCTTGCTTTCGATTTAGTTTCTTTTTTTTTTCTATTTTGTTTTGACGTGAAGGAAAGATTTAGTATACATTTCTATTGTGACTTTCACTTAGAGAATGTGCTTCAGTCCACCAAAATAGCTCCCAAGAGTCATCAATGCAATCATTAGGAAGGAACAGGAGTGAATTGTTCCACTATGACTCTTCTATTATTAATAATATATTTTTGTCCTTATCTTTCCTGATATGATAATAATAATATTATTTTGAACATTGACGTTAGCTAAACAATTTTTCTGAGGATCCGTCATCTCACAAATCATGCACAACAGTTTTAAAAACAACATTTTAACAAAAAAATAATCGAACTTAAGTAATAATAATTACTAGTTGACCCGTCCGAATAATTCGCAGAAAATTTTGTTTGATGAAAAAATAGCTAAACTATATTTAAATAAGTAGTTCCTATCTATTATATAAGAAAGGAATTAATATTTTTTTCCTTTGTCCATTAAAAAATTCCATTTAACATAATAGACCAAAATATTTGTACAAATTGTGTTTGTTAGGACCTATTTTTAAACGCTGACTGGAAAGATAATAAATATTATAAAGACAAAATAATTCCCCGATCATGGGATTTTCTAAATTATTAAAAAAATAAAATAAAATGTAAGAAGAAACAAATGCCTTTAAGAAATAATAAAGTTAATATATCAGCCAGAAAAAAAAGTGTAGTAGACTTTTCTACTCTTAAATGCAATATCTTTAAACAGGAAGACATTATTAAGTATACTAAAACTAATGGACTGTATCTTTGTCATTAATTGTCTGATTTTTACGATAAGGTAGGTAATTTAGTAATCTTTCTAATTATCATGGGTACAATTAAGAAGGAAATGCATACTTTTTGAGTTATTCGCATATAAAGTTTCTTTTCCTTCATAACTTTTTTTTCAGAAATTTCGGTGGGATAGGACTATTTTTCGCATGTGAAGGATACGTTCAAAATGATTGGCGATCATTGGATTTGATGAAGAATTGACAAAGTTACGGCGTATCGAAAAAAAAAAACACCTTTTAGAAATAATATGTAGGATTATTATTTTAGCTTCTGACTGTTAATCTTAAGTTTTTAAAGTTGCGATTTTTGTTTTTAGGACTAAGTCTTTCTACTACCAAGTTTTACGTTTTAGATATAAATCGTCCATCACTAGTGCAAATAGGTGTTTTTTTTAAATGGAGATTATACCTGCATAAATAAATATTTTTTTTAATTTTAAAGTGTTAAATAGAAAAAGGAGACCCTAGAGATTCTAAACGTCGAACGGAGAAGTTTATAACTGTAATAATTACGGCGACATGAGCCAAACATTTCCTTAACCATGTCCATCGCTCCACTAAATAATAATAATGTTTTTGGCCATTAAATATAGGAAGGCGAAAATTTATCCTTAATTAAATTCAATTCGATCGTTTTTTCTCAACATTTTTTTAATTTTTATTCTCATCTTTAACGTTTTAGCCTAGAAGAAATTATCAAGGAAGAACTTTGATATAATTAAAAATCATTACAAGCTAATTTTCCTAAATATTTCCTGCTCTATACTCTCTATTCATTTACTCCGAATAAATGAAGCATGAACAGCTGAGGGAAATCGCACTGTAATGGTTTTTAATTATATTTAGCCTTTTCCTTGTTGCTAAATGAAGTTGCTTAGTAGTAAAGAACAAGAGCAAACATTAAACAAAGAAAAGAATTATAATATAATTTGCTTATAATTTATGATAGTATAAAATATAAGTATACACCTGTGCGAGAACTCTCAAATTACAATCTTTAACATAATTCATTGGAAGTATAAGAGATATTAAAGGAACATATTTATTCCTATAAATAATATAAAAATAAGGTGAAGTGGGGAATGTGCAACCAGGTTTATTTTTTTTTTCGTTTTAAAGTTTTACTTTTAAAGTAAACCTATGACATCCTGTCCTACAGTATCCTTTAATAACTGTATTCCTGTTGAACAAATCCGATACCTTGGACTGCACTTGGACACTAGCGGATCCAGGATTTAGTTTTGGGGGGGGCTTCAGCCCGACAGTTTTTTTTTTCATATATACATATAACGATAATTAATTTGAAAAAAAAGAAATTAATTAGTTATCTTTATGAAATGGTGTTTAAGTGGTTCTTGAAGTCCAATTAAACGTAATTACACCAACAAGAATACTTTAAGAGATAGTATAAAGTATTTTTTTCTGTAAAATATGGTTACATTTTACCATTTTGGGGGGGGGGGCTTCAGCCCGAAAGCCCCCCCCCGTAGATCCGCCCGTGCACTTGGACAAACGTTTAACTTGGAATTCTCATATCAGACTGAAAAGACAAAAAACCACGCGATGTTTCCGACTACTGCAGCACTTACTAGACAAACGCTCTAAACTTCCAATTAATTACAAAAAACTCATATACTCATGACTACAATAAGATCTACTTGGACTTATGGAGTTGAGCTGTGGGGCTCCACTAAACCATCGAATTCCTCTCGCATCCAATCCTTACAATCCAAAATCCTCACTGCTCCCTACTTTGTCACAAATAAAATAATCCATAATGACCTT